ATTTTATGTTCACTTTGTATGTTTTTCTAGGATTGTTTAATAATTTAGCATTAAAAATGGATGAAAAATCTGTCCAGCTTATCATGAAATGCTTGTCAACCTTGACTAAAGAAATACAAATAAGGAAATTGTTTGCATAAAAAACTACGAACCTTTCTTATATATATGTATAATAATAAAAAATAATATTAGCTTTAGTTTTACTTTTCATTTTTGAATGAATTTAAAAAAGGAAAAGAAATGAGAACATCATAATATGTACATATGTACATGCTGTGATCCATTTATTATATGTGCCAAAAAATTAACGGGATTTGAATTTGACATTAATTCACTAATTGAAAACACTAATCCCAGAGCAATCTTTACATTCCGTATATATTTATTAAAAATTATTTTGATATTTCGCATTATTTATTTGGAAGGAATTAAGTCCTTTTAATAATTATTTAAAAAAAAATTTCTTTTTGTTAGACACTATGATGCACCAATTGCTGATCTTCATAAAAAAATTAAAGAAATAGATGATAGCAATGAGGATGAAGAAGATCTCCCATATATTTCTGATTGGCCTCTTTTGAAAAAGGAAAGGATGATTCATTCAGGAAAGCATAGAGAGATTAATTTAAAATGTGGCAATAATCCCAAATGGGATAATTCACCAGACTGGGATATTAATTAAACATGTATATAAGGAACAAGGATTCGCTGTACTTTAAAAGTGACTTTGTAATAAGTTAACTTAATAGTGTGTTTTTGTGTAATTGATAGTGTACCATTTTTGATTTAATAAAATCTATTTGAATCTACTAAAGCAAATAAACAAAGATAAATTTATTATTTATCAAAAAAAGAAATAAAGAAACTTTAAAGTATATAAACATGATTGATTTTGAGATTGACATCAAAAAAATTTGCAACATTAAAAATCATTAAACTTTATACATTTAATAATATTATTTTCTTTAAAAACAATGCTGTTTAAATTGACCACTGCTTGTGTGATTGATTCAATAAAGGAACAAAATTAATTATTTCGCAATAAAAGCTATTTGTTTGTTTGTTTATTGTTGTTTTTTGATTTTGGTATTAATGCATGGTTTCTATTCATAATATAGTCAGAACTTGTTAAACCAAAGTCAATATTTTCAAAAAAAAAAAAAAAAAAAACTTCAATTTAAAAAACCTTAATAAAATTGGCTTATTGAGGTAATTTGATAGGTAGATAATAAAACAACATCAGTTTATTGTGTATATTTGGTTTATCAAAGCATTGTTCTAACTGTATGTTTATTCATTTTATTTGTTTTATTTGTTTTATTCAAATAAACATTATTTGAATAGAAAACCCTAACTACTGCTCAATATTATGATATTATTTTAGTACAAAAAGCTTTAGAAATATTTAACCAATAACTTAATTACAATATAAAGAGCTATTGGTTTATTAAATTAAGCCAATAATTAACTAAAAAATAGGATTAATTTTAAAAAAATATCTGATAAATATTGGCACCTTCAACATTTACTAGTAGGCTTTTAGACTATATGATAAAAATACTAAAAAAATTATTAACTTATTGGTATGCTAATACCTTGATTATCTTTTTAAAGAATAATCAGGTTCTGATATTTGCTGATACCCCATTACCCAATTTGGCATCATTCAACCAGTAAAAGAGAACCAATAGATTATATATAAGCAAAGAAAGATGGAACCCTAAATTAGAAACCATAACAGCTTGACAGCTTGATTGACACAGTGGTGCAGTCTTGAAATTTTTTTATTGTGTATTTTGAATATAATTAATCATAATCTTTAATAAAACAAACATGACTTAGCTATTTAATCATTTCCTTGTATGTGAATGCCTCCATCCATCAAATATTCA